ACACGTTGCGCATCACCTGCGGTCCACGCGTTGACTAATATCTATTAATATTATTATTCATTATTATATTAAATAAAATATTTGGAGCTATAATAATTCACGCATTAGAAATGGTGCGGTGAGTATTTCCCTCTGTCGAATTAAGCAGACTGATTTATAATTGTAACACTATAATAATATTCTACATTTAAAATTACCTATATGTGTTGTGGCCAATCGATATAGATAGAAATTAAAGAACCAATGTTCAATATAAATAGGTAGCCTAGTATAGTCATCAGTATAAAGTGTTGAGTACCGATCAAGCCGATCAAGGTATACAGATACTAAATATATTATATACTATTAAATTATATAAAAATAATTATATTCATTAAGGATTTGATTATATCATGTTGAAAAATAATATATTTTACTATAGAATCATTTAATATTTGTTAAGATATAGTTTTTTCTAGATTTTGGTAGACGATTATACAATTTTGTGAAAAAAATTATATTTTATTAGAAGTCTCTCGTTTAGGTCAATTCGATTCTATATGGGTACTTATTATGAAGTTCTATACTCAGAATTACCTGGGTACCAATGAGGGTACCCCCGGAGGGGGTGTTGGAGTTGGCAAGTGTCTTAGGGTGACAATTTAATTTTGAATTCAATTACAAAAATACTCAACCAAGTAGTTAGGAACATTTTATAATTTTAAGAAACTATTGGAGTTAGTGATGAAAAAATATGTTACTTAAATAGTTAAATTCAATACAATTTAATCTTATTTGAGATGTACCATTTAAAATTTAAATACCTACTAATTATTGACACAATTTTAATAATTAAAATATTTTCAAAAGAAACCTTGATATGGYTGTTGTATTAGTATTGTAGGTATTATAATAGAAGTAGGTACGTTTCTAATATTGAACATTTTATTGACAATAACGTCAATAACCATAATAAGTCCTTCGTTAATCATTATAATATAACGTAATATGTCAGCATATTGTAAAAATAATTAAATAAGTACTATATTAAATAGGTATAAAGGCTCACGAAGTGTTATTTTGGTAATTTTTATTTTTATTTGCATTGCAATATTATGTATTTATGTACTAAATCATCATTTTTACTTTTTTTAAATTACATTTAAGGATATTATAAACATAAATTAAAACTGCCTGATAGAAGAAATTCTGTGATCATAATATTATTTCATCATCCCTAATATTTGAACTCTATAGTTGTATATATGAGTATACTGTGTATAACACTATACCAGTTACCAGCTATACTACTACGGTATAATAATTGTTTTAAAATATACACCGCACGTACCTATTAAAGACAAGCATAATATTATAGAACCGGTGGTCCGACATTTAGCTTCCGGAGGGGAAGCGTAAAGCCTCACACTCTTGTGAATCATATCATCGGCGATCGCCAAATGAAACTACCCTCCGTTGTGAACTCGGGTCCAAGTGTGGCCGTGCGCGCACGCAGTCATAGGGGCGGAGCGCGACGATTTTGCTTGTCACGCCCTTTGTGCCAGTGATGGTGTTGGGGTATGGGTGGACGAGAGGAGAAGGTCGAAGCGGCTAACAAACGTGGTGGACAAAAGGCTGCTCGACCGTTCCGTGGAAAACAAACGTGTCGTAAACACCTGTTTTTACCTGTTCGCCGTCCCTATAAAATATAACGCGCACGAAAACGCTCGTCCACCTACTACACCTCACCTCAGCGGATTCTTTAAAATGCCTGTTAAGTGCCAACAACAGCCCAGAGGAAAATTAGGGTGATGCAAACACCTTTCCACTGAAACATCATTACTCGCGTCGACGCCAGCCCTTTAAACCAAGCCCGCCCCGCCGAATACTTATAATATATATATATATATATATATATGCTATATGCCTACTACACCTAGGTAATATAACCATGGCACATACTGCTGATTGCAGCTTACCACCCACGCGCTTAGGTTTATACATAAATATAAACTATTAAATAATAATATAAAATATAATGTATTTGTACAGATGGATTGCATGTCCATTGTCTATATTTTTAAGTGTCCGATTGTAATGTAATAGTAAATAGGACGATCAACGTAGTGTGAGACCGTAACGTCTGTGTATAGACTTGTAATAATAATAGTATCTACTATACAAATACAATTATTATAATTGCCGTAGGTATATACATATACATATATATAAATATATAACATCAATTGTGTACATACTAAAGCAGTAAGTTGCTGATGGTTTTACCATGGACATTTTATTTTTCTGGTACTCGCAGAATTAATAAGAGGTTAGGTAATTTTTTTTTTGAAAACAGGACCTCTTGGTTGCCAATTTTTTTGCTGTACAATTCTTTGAAATTAATACATATAAACCATTTCCGAAATAATAACTGCAAAATGATTMAAATATTGTGTACATATGTATTAAATGTTGGAATAGGTAAACGTAAGATAAACGCAGTCAGACAAATGACAATGTAAAAAAGATAATAAAAGTTCGATTTTCAATTCGGCCCTGATCATTTTGAACAATAAAATCTTGTATTAGTTAACAGGAGACAAACATTAGTTGTGTTTCAGATAAAAAAAATTGTTTGGATTAATTTTGTTCACAAGTTCTTAAAGTCTCAGAATATGAGAAGCAAGTTACCTGCTGAGTGCTGATTTGTGTTCTATTATTTTAAGTAAAGTACACAACTTCATTTAACATTTGTATCATGTATTTGTGACATTAAAGCATGTTAAATTATTTTTAATATTAAGATTTTTGACACCATTGCCATAATAGTTAKTAATTATGTATTTTKTGTAGTATTGAAAATAATATTTGTATATTAGCGAAATAGTGGTTAACAAAATTTATTTATTCGRCTACACGCATTCRCACAAGTTACATCTACGAATATATGTAATGGTCATCGCCTATCTTAACCTAACCTAGATGGATCTTATCCACAAAAAGGTATGTAGGATGCAAGCAATATTCTATCAGTAGGCAGTAAACTATTAAATCATCAAATAAAAATATAAACGAATTAGATACCCACATGTATTTATAAACCTTTAACTGATAAATAATAAAATTATAAAGTTTTAACTTGAAATGTTTCTACATGATTTATAAACAATATGCCAACTAATAACTCAAATAAATAAGSCGCTATTTTAGATAATACCATTGATTATATAATATTTATCAATGATAATATTATATAATAATTTTTCTGTTTGTTTTACATAGTTTCTATATAAATAATAATAACTATTAAAATTATGTCATATCAAATATTTTGAATTGTATACTATATTGTACATGTGAACTGTGAAGACTTTAAATAACATTTGTTAAAAAAAAAAAATACATTTTCTTTGAATTTAAGTTGTTTCACAATATTTTGATAAACAGCTAATTGTTAATAAAAACAATCAGTTATTATTTATAGTTTATACATCAATTTTATGCAACTAAAATAAATTGCTTTAATACATTATTTCATCTGTATAATATCTCATTCAGGCGAATGTTACGTTTTACGTAAATAATGTATTAATATGAACGATTTAAGTTAAATTTACATAAACGAATGGTTTTTAAGGTACCTACATTTTGTACTGTCTATTTAAATTGTTWTACTAAGGCATTATAATTTAGACATTTATTAAAAAAATGATGGATAAATTATAATTTATTGATCAAATATGCATACACATCAACATTATTTTGTAATGTATGTTAACGTTTTCAAATGATATTCTTAGGAGTGAAGCAAAATGTAAAATAAATTTATCAATATTCAGTTTTGCATAATTTTCTAAGAGAAATGTAAAACTACATGTTGCTACTCGTGAACCTTTTTTTTTTTAATAATTAAAAACAGATTTCAACGAACTGTAAATTTTGACTAAAAGTATTGATGAAAATTAAGATAACTTTTTTTTAATAGAAATATTTGAAAATGTTGAATGTATTGATGTAGGTAACATAACATTGGTTATTTTTGATTTACCATGACAAATCATACAAATTTGTTAGTAAAATAAATATTTTAGTATTTATGASATTTATGACATTTATGTGCATAAATTCAATTTTTAAATTACGATTTCAACTCATGGGTTATAATAATTATGTACCATGTACATGTGTGATGACTGGTAATATGTTTTTAATTTATTATTATTCTTTAACGATTTATTTTTTACATACAAATACTTTAGAAATACCTTATCATATAACACGTTAGTAATAATTATAGAAGTACTTTTAATCTATTATACTGTTTAATTAAAGAATTTCTAAATTATTTAATTTTGTCATCKGTACCTAATATATTTTAACGAAAAAACTGTATTCTCAAACCTCAGATAAGCAGAACTGAATTATCAGCAAAGTTTAAATTCTTTAACATTTTTAAATTTATCATCTCAATCACTCTGTATAATATTTTATGTATGTATGCGCAGGTCGTCGRTTGTTGTTGTGTGAACACTATCTCTGGGAAATAGGTGTTTTGAGAACATTTTCTGTATTAAAGTTCTCTTCAGCTCAGATTTTATGTGTATGAGTGTGTTTGGGGTAAATGGATTSTATAATAGGGTGGAATGGATGACTGAGGAGGAGAAGAAGGAGGAGAAGTGGGACAACAAAAGAGACGAAGAGCTTTTTGGTCGTGTATAACTGATTATTGGACCTTAATGGAAACGGCCATTTGTCGGAAATGATGGTCTAAAACCGTTGCCCAGGAGACCGCATCGTGTCTGGAAGACGTTGAGAACTTTTACAAGGCGTATAAAAGGACCTGTGCGAGTGGGTGCATAGGTGGAGGGTGGACCTGGTTGGCATGGGTGGGGCAGGGATGCGTCGGCCGCGAGGTAACGCGCATAGGGTGGGTGGGAAAATGGCCAAAACAGATAAACGGAGGATAAACTTTAAAACTGTTCAGTTTAACGTGATTCACTCGCATCACGCATTTTCACATTTCATTTCGCTTGTACCTCTTCATTGACTCCGGACTGTGTCATTATATTTTCTTCATTTTTATCGCCTTTAAAAATAAAAACTTATAAGTATATTATTATTTTTATTAACTACTCTAACGTACCTAAATGTTGTTCATAACACTACAATATATTCCGAAGTAGATGAATGAAATGAAATATATAACGRTCAGTGATTAATGTTGTTTTTATGGTTTTTCCTCGTAGCATAATTCTACTTTGGGTAAGTTCATACGATAAATAAATACATTTTTTTTTAAACTGCTATACACATATTTACTGACATAAATATTATGTAMATATTGATGGTTCATATAAATATATATTATATTCAATGTTTCATTATATTGATTTATACAATTACCTAAAGAAAAACTAATATTAATTTGAAATATTTAAAGATATCAGATGTAAAAATAATGTTCACGTTTTATTTWATCATGGTTTGTATTTTTACTCTTATAAGTTGGCTGTTACATATATCAATAAATATTACACTCTCAAATCTTAACTTAAGAAACAATATAGTTTAGATATAATTTCTGTAGGTATTACATGACTAAATTACTCTCATAAGTAAATTTAAGTATTTATAAGCTTATAACATACGTTTTTTAATATATTATCTCAATTTCATTCGATAAAGCTGGTATCTTAGAACTTAGTGACACCAATTGTTGATGAAATGTAAGATATAGGTACTTATTTTGCAGATTCACTGACAAATGGTTTTTTCACTTACTTAGCAGCCTTGGTATCCATTWMGAATTTATTTTGCCCCGATATTAGACAACAACTTCAATGTATAAGACCGTCAAATTATTATGTTATAATATCATGATTTTTTTCATTAATAAATTATTAAATTTCAAAACGATCATTTTTTTGTTGACATTTTATGTATTTTAATATAATATATCAAAACATCATGGTAGTTAACAAAATCAGTATGCTTTTGCAACATTAATATTAATTATTACTCGTTAGATAACTTAGACCCGCAAAGGAGAAAAAAATGACATGCTCTAAATTTGGGATAAACGGATGATAATAAATTTAAATAGCGCTTTTGTGCAGTTATAGATGACGATTTAGTTAGTCATGTATACACGATATTATTATATATAAGTTAGTTTAGCCAGTTTAGGTTATATATATATTAAATGTTCGTTTATTGGATGAATGCAAAAACATAGGCGTGCGTATATGCTTAAGATAGTTGAATTAGTTAAGGTTATCCGAGGTCACAATCGGCATAATTCCCCTTATAAACTTAAATATACCTACAAGATGATTTGAAGTTTTTAGTATTGTAGAAAATTAGTTAAAATTAAATCATTGTTCATATTTTATCTAAACTTTTTATTACATAAATTATCAAACTCGGGGGGTAAAATTAAAACTCTCAGAATCATGTCTGATGTAATAAATAGTGCATCTAAATGAGTAGTTATAGACTGATTAAAAGCAAGTATACTTTGAAGACTTGAAGTATACCTAGGTCAGACATTTTCAACAATATTATATATTTTGYSGATATATGAATCAAAATCTAACAACAAAAATGTTTTATACGATATACCAGTCACAAGTTTTTCTGGTGAAAGGAACTAGCAAATAATATTTTAGATTATAATCAAAAATGTATCTATTTCTATTTAACTTTATATGTAATTTTAAATTTATGACATATAATACATTAATATATATCATTTTTATTAATTATTTACTGTTATTATGTATTGCTGTATAAAATATAGTAATTAAAATGATAGTTTTAAACGATAATTTTTGGGCCACAATTTATAACGATGAGCACCCCTTGCTCCAAAAGGCTCCACACGTAGTATAGTGTGTGCCTAAATACAAAATTAATAAAAAAAATAAAATCAATTTTATCTGTGACCATATTTATTCAGTAAGTAAACGCCACCGTCTTGAAGATATGGATACGTCCTCAGATTCGGACAGCGCACTTTCACCTGGCGATTACGATCAAGTGTCGTATAACGCGGCGGCCGCGATGACTGGTTACGACGACTCGGCGATCATCAAGTCTCCGTCTAGACACTCAGAGTCCTCGGACAGTGGTAGYGATGTCGCGGAACCACGTGGCGCCTTGGCCCATCACAAGTTCTCCATAGACCGTATCCTAGGCCGATTCAATGGTAATGATKCTACCGCCACGACGGCCATCGACTCCTGTCCAGAAACATCAGACCCTGACAATCGTCACCAAAAAGACTTGGCGTTGCGTGGCGTAGGTGAGTGCAACTGATGGCTGAGGTGATTTTTCGTGGTGAATGTTAATATACCTAAGTCCTAAGCCAGCGGCGTGGTAATTATATTGTACTTGAGAGTCATATAGGGTGTAAGTAGATTTAAGACTATTAAAATGCAAATTAGCAAATGTAAAGTATTCAATTACATAGGTAATGTACCTACTTAGTATCTATGAGTAGTAAGTATATACTATATTATAGGTACCCAAAGAAAACCAAACGCGTATTGCATTTTCTCGTAACTCTTCAATCGATAATAGTTAGAATATTCTAAATTTAGAACTTATTTTCCCAAATAGCCCAGTTATTTTTCCCCATCTCACATATATACATTTTTTGCTTCGTATATACCTAATACCTATACTTGTATTATATTTTAAATAATATTTTTATACATATTTTATACATTTTTATATTTAATACTATTATAGTGGTCAATCTTATTCAAGCCTATTTTTTTGGTATACCTCGTGCCAGAGGTTATAAATGCTAAATAGTATTTACTATTTATAATCAATGGCTGTACGGCGTTACATATTATATCTCTAATTTTATTGAATGCTCTTGTTTAAATAATATAAAAAACAAAAACATTTTGTTTTTTAATTTTAAATAATTTATTTACCGATGTGTTTCGGTTAATATAAATTAATAAAAAAATATATCAGGTTTTTTTGAAACAATAATTTTTACTTTATGTTTTTATGTATAGTTAAACAATAGTACCTATCAGAATTATTTTTTCTTTTAATACAACAATAGTCTGTAAATATGGATTTTTCCTACGTAAAAAGAATAAAAGTGGTTCAATTTGCTTGAAAAATATTTATTCGGGTCTCTTAAAATCCAGAAATCTATTAAGACTTTTTGAAAGAACAGACATTAGTAGATATTTAAATTTTACAAGTTATAAGTACCAAACATTCAAATTCAATCAAAATAGTTAACAAAAAATATGTAGTCGGTTAAAAATAATGAAACCATTGAATATAGTTATGAATTTATGACTATACAATACCGGTTACCGATATTGGAATATTTGAAAGTGATTCCATATAAATATAATTTTCAAAACAAATATAACACTAACTACATGTTTAATGTTTGATCAATACTGTTGTATACATAATCAGAATTTATTTTAATTTAGTTTTGAACATAATTTTTCGATTTTTTGTAATCGCATGTTTTATTGTCAACTGCCGTTCGCTCTTTTGGCAGTTTATTACCAKGGATTTAAATATACATACCTATTCAATTAACTAAAAATAAGCTTATTAAAGCGCTTATCTAATTTATAAATAATAGAAAAGTGTCTTCATGTTCAGATAAGACGTGAGACTTAATTTCTAGCTATTTCCGTACTTATTACTTTCGACGCTGAAGTTTTTTTCTCGTTTTCACCATTATTTGTTATCTATAAGTGAGTTATCTGAATTTTTCATGTTTTTAGTGGTTATTATGTTTTTTTTAATTTTGTTTAATCATAAAAAGTAAAAATGAATTTATTTACCCTTTCACTAAATTGTGTAAATAGCTATTCGTCTATGTATTAATTTTTAAATATTTTTAGGGAACAAAAATATCCGTTATCCTGCAGTATATTGTCGTTCGTTAATAATAAGTATAAGTTTGACATTGTTCTATAATTTGGTAATTTGTTTGTCATTTATTTTGTGCCTTAGGTTAAATTAGGCTAGGTTAGTCAATTTAGATTATAATAAGTGAAATTTATTGTAATTGTTTATTTCTCATATTGATAATTGTTAATATTGGTATCTTTGAATCCGAAAACTAGATACTTAAAGACACACTAAATTTTTGCGTTGACTTTATTTCTACGATAATATATTAATATAAACGATAGTGAATTCGGTACATAATTGTTAATTGGCAAAACGGTAGGTATTGTCGTGTTAAACTGTTGAACTTTGAAAAAAAAAACTATATCAATGGATAAATATATTAATATAATTTAATTGCACACAGATAACATCGCGGAACTTAACGGTCATAACTTTCCTTACTCGTCGTTGCTGTATGGCGGGTGGTTTGCTGYTGCGGCTGCTGCAGCGGTAGCTAACAAGACACCACCGTCYCATTTATTCGGTCTTCAGGGTAAGCATATGTATAAAACTAAAAAACTTTTGAATTTTCGAATTCATGCAAGTTTATCTGCATGAATAGGCTGCTTAGAAAAAACTCGGAGACATTCTCTCATTGTCGATCGTCGAGAAACATTAATGTCTATTGAAACACAGCACTATATTAAGGGACGATTAAAAGTGGCATGAGTTTTTTTTTTAAGGGAGGGGGAGATTTTTAAAAGCAAATCAATTGCACGCTCTTTTTATAATATTTGAACAGGTTAGTAAGCTTATTTTACGTATATTATCACTACAACCCTAATTCTCAAGGTTAGGTTAGGTATTATAAAAATATTTCGATGAATTTTAAAGTAATAATTACACTTAGATACAGTCTTAAACTTGATCATACAACCAAAGATATAGATAAATTTAAAATGAATTTAAAAAAAAAAATGTTGTAAATACTGTTAAATTGATTTCTTATGATAAAATCTTATAAATAATACCCAATTATGTATTTGATTTAATTTYATAAAATTAATTGTTGGTATAGTGTGTTTTAATGAATCCTAGCTTAATATTTTATTTCCGAGACATTGTTACTAACTTTTATTGGTACCTATATAGTTGAAAACGAGATTGAATGTTATAAACATCAAGTTCATAAGAAGTATTAATGTAAAAAATTGGGATTAATGTAATATTCATATGAAAATGTCTGTAATCGTGAAATATTAATATAAATGAAAATAAATTGAGATGAAATGTTAATAAAATAAAATATCATAAGTGATTGCTGATTATTATTCTGTAGACACCTGATATTAATTAAAATTTGTTTAAAGCTCCATATTATGAAACTTTTGACGTCACATTAGTATAGATGTGACAATGTGACATATTGTGCGGTAAACCAACATATATCTAAATTGTACACACTGTTATAACCATATAAAAGCATTCAATTTGTATATATAGTGAAGTTAAATTTTTTTTTTATTATTTGAATATYGAAGAGTGGATGATTAATATTAAAAGATTCTTTGAATTTTCGAGGTAATGTAGTAATGGGATGCGCGTTCGATGCCTTTTAATGCCGGCAATTATAATATAATAATTGMGTATGATCGTATGTAGATATATACAAACACGTATGTAAGTTATTGAGTGTATATATAGATTTATATGATAAAATGTAAAAACTACGTATAGTGTACGCATGCAGCTATAGTGTTGCACGAGTCATCGACATTGACCTAAAGTCAAATTTTAATTTGCATCGCTAACTCGATTTGGTAGTAATTTGCATTCTGTGGTTTTATTTCAATTTTATTATTTATCAGTTTTTTGTATATAATTAATGCGGCACCGGGTCGATTATTTAAGTTGACCCTCACATCCTTAGTGGATACTACGCGACGAGGGTTGTAAATAATAACGGTAATGATATTATACTGTGTATAAAGTAGTTTTCATCAATTCCTTGTAAACCATTGCTATAATAGAGTTAGATAGGTACTTACTTATAATAGGAACTAACCGCTATAAAACGTATATGCTACCTTATTAGATATGTGTATATCTAAAATTATGCTAATGTCCGTATTGTCAGCGATGTACAATCGGAATTAATATTATTCGTAATTTTAAAAGCTGACGTGGGCATTTTTATACCAATACTAAACTATATATACATATATCTATGTCCTGAACAATTACACATAATATGTGACCAAATAATAGCCATATTCRTTTGGGCACAAATATTTAAATATTGTATAATTATCAAATTCATATTCTTCTTATGTGGCTTTAYAACTCTCTAAAAGACATTGCTGTCTTCCATCTCTCTTCGCTCTGATAATAGTTCTCACTTCTACGTTTTTCTTCAGTCTTCGGCGCCCAACATCATYAAGCCCAATAATTCGTCATTTTTTGTGCTTATTATTTCCGCGTACCTACCTAAAACGGGAGGATATCGCGAAGGTGTTGCTGCTGCCACAGTGAGACAGCTATGATCCAGGATTCACCGGACCACTTAAGATGAGTCATGTGGTGGTTGTTCTTTTGTCACGCGTTATTCCATCCTCCAAATAATAAGTGGGATGTGACATATTATTCTGGATAGAATACAAACTCTTTGTATAAATCTTTCATGTTTAGTGTTTGAGTGTGCTCATGACAAACCTGTATTACAATTTATGAACGACCATTTAACAGTGAGACTAAGTATTTTATTTATTTAATCATTAATTTTGTGTAGCTTCTGTTCATCCGAGACCACCGTTGACAGACCATGTCTGTAACATTTACTTTGAGAGAAGGTAAGACTATGAGAGAGCAGTAGATGCGTGAATAACTATTTTTTGAAGTGGCCGCCTCRTGAAAAATTTGGGGGTGGGTATTCCAATTACTTGCAGTCTTCAAGACCTAGACGGCTAAACTAGTTTATAATTTATACTCACGTAGTCACATATGACCAGAATTTAAAATTAATGAAAAGTAAAGTATAAAGAGTGAAAAAATTGGTGGATAGGTATTTATTTAAGGTCRTCACTTCATAGGAAAAAAAGTTCACGCCGCCACTGTGAGAGAGAGCAGTATAGTATATGAATATATTTTACAGGAACAGTCCAGATCTAGATTAGTTTAACTGAGACATGTTTCTAGGCACACATTTTTGAACCCGGTGCCTCAAATCATGATTCATAAAAAATAAAAAATAAGTACCAATACAGTAATATTGAAAATAATAAATGGAGTAACTAGATAATAGTTAGCGTTAGAGTATTTATAAATTATAAGATGAAAAGTATTGTATAAGTACATTAAATATGTATAAAAGTAATTAAATAAAAAATTAATGTTAAGTATGCCGTTATAATCAACAAAAATAATAGATAATAATCATTGG